GTTTAGTCCAGGTGTAGATGGTTTAGTTCTGGTGTACATGGTTTAGTTCTGGTGTAGATGGTGTAGTCCAGGTGTAGATTCAGTTTAGTTGCTTTATTGAAGGTGTAGATGAGGTTTAGTTGGTTTAGTCCAGGGGTAGATGGTTTACTTGGTTTAGTCCAGGTGTAGACAAGGTTTTTTTGGTTTAGTCCAGGTGTTGTTTTATGTAAGGTATAGATTAGGTTTGGTTAGTGTAGTCCAAATGTAGATGAACTTTAGACGGTTTTGTCCTGGTGTGCTGGTTTTGTCCAGATTTAGTTTGTTTTGTCCAGGCTAAGCTGGTTTAGTCCAGGTGTAGCTGGGGTTTAGTGGTTTTGTCCAGGTATAGTTGAGGTTTAGTTGGTTTCATTCCGTTGTAGATAAGGTTTAGTTTGTTTTTTACAGGTTTAGTTGTGGTTTTGTTGGTTTAGTTTAGTTGTAGTTGTGGTGTAGTTGGTCTAGTCCAGTATTAGTTAAGGTTTGGTTGGTTTTGTCCAAGTGTATTTGAAGTTGTTTAGTACATGTAGTCTAGTTTTAGCTGAGATGTAGTTAGTTTTGTCCTGGTTTAACTCAGGTTTATTAAGTTTAGTCCCAGTTTGGTTGATTTAGTCTAAGTGTAGTTCAGGTTTAGTTTGTTTAGTCCAGGTTTCTTTGAGATTTATTTGGCTTAGTCCAGGCTTAGTTGAGGTTTGGTTGATATCATAAAGCTCTCAGCCCAGACGGTTTAGAAGCAGTCTAACATTGTTTAGTTGGATTAGTTTAAGGGTAGTTGAGGTTTAGTTGGTTTAGTCCAGCTCTCTGTTCAGATAGTGTCGAAGCAGTCTAACATAAACAGACCCGTCCCTTTTGTTAGCCAATCAGATGGAAGAACCTGTGTTAGGCTTTGGGTTAATCCAGACCAACCTGCTGTGATATCACCTCCTGCAGACATTTTTTTCAGTCTGGCAGTCGGTTGTTTCAGTGTTTCTGTAGAAGCTGAGCAGAGACTTGTTGTCGCCCTCTGCTGGTGGACTCTCTTCAGTCATGTCCAGCAGATGCTCATCTCTCTTCCATGTGGATCCTCAGTCTCCCATAATGCACCTGTTTTCCTGCAAAGCTGCAGCAGTCAAGAAACGTCAGGCTGAAGAGGAAAATCAGTGGAATGACCCTTTAACTGTTTTCATTTCTGTGCAAGCTGTAACCATGGTGACAGCAGTCAACTGTAGCCATGGTGATGGTTTTTCAACATAGCCACTGTAATGTCGGTTTCTGTTTTCTGTTGTTTCATGATGTTGTTTGATGCGACTGCGTCTTATATAGTTTCCTGTTTCGGTTATTTAATGTTCACGTTGGGATGCAGCGACGTCAGATTCACTTTCTTATCTCGTCCTAATCAATACAGTTTGCTGTCATCAATACAAACAGCTGCCAACACAAACCAAACCTTCCTACCCCACAGTGGACTCAGCCGTGCTCCGCTTCCTCTGGAGCTTGTTTCTACCAGAACGTTTGTAAAACAACAGAACAAGAACGGGGAATGCTGGGAGCTCAGTGCTGACGGCAGCGTGTTTCGTGTTGAACAGGAACTCCTGCTGGGATGTTTTCAGCGTGAAGGATTTGTTGAGAATAAAACGTGTTTAAATATCAGCTGTGTGAGCGTTTTGTGTTGAACAAGTGAATCCGATGAAGCTTTCATAACTGCAGTCTGACTCTCAGCCCAGTTTCACAACGTCTCTGACTCACGTCTCTGAGGGTTGAAGTTGAGCCACAGAAACGTTCAGCGTGACGCCGAGTCAGCACACAGCTCCAGTCTGATGAGTTATTGATCCTGTTCCTGCTTCATCACAAGAGTCCAGACCGCTGGACGGTCGCTCAGACCTTCAGTACCACAGAAAAGTACAAACACACACACAGTGTTGCCATGGTGACATCACATGGCGGGCTGCTTCCTGATCACCGTCACCAAACTGATCAGGTTATGGATTATTGACTTTATCCAGTTTCACAGCTTCACTGTCCAGCTGGTATAGATCACTATTGATCACCATTGATCACTATTGATCTCTGTTGATCACCACTGAATGCTATTGATCGCTTTTGATCACTACTGATCGCTATTGATCACTACTGATCACTGCTGATCACTACTGATCACTGCTGATCACTACTGATCACTACTAATCGCTATTGATCGCTATTGATCGCTATTGATCACTACTGATCACTACTAATCGCTATTGATCACTGGTTCTGTCACAGCACATATTTCAGGTTTTAGATTAAACTTTTCATTTTTAACTGCTGTCGTCCGTGACGTGAGCGCGCCCGACTCCACGCTCGCTCACGACATATTTCGCCACGAGCTGCGATTGGCTAAGAGGAACCCACCCAGGAGGCAGGGCCCGGTGCGCATGCGCAGTGATGGAGTGAGTAGGAGCGTGCTGAAAGTTTGAGTTCAACAGTTTCTGTGTAATCAACGACGAGAGGCGCGTTAGCACAGACACACACACAGACACACACACACACACACACACACACAGACACACACAGACAGACGGACGGACAGCAGCTCCGACGTCCACACGGAGGCACCGGGACGACGCAGCGCTCCAAGCCGGGAAACGGAGCGCGACCGCCGGCATGAAGGTCGAGTTCGCCCCGCTGAACATCCCGCTGCGGAGGAGGCTGCAGACGGCCGCCGTGCTGCAGTGGATCTTCTCCTTCCTGGCTCTGGGTAACAAGCTGCTGTGTGCTGATCGGACTGATTATTGCTCCTCTGTGTTGTAGTGAGAGAAGGGGAACCCGACTGGTCAGATGTGATCAATAATCAGCCTGATTGATTGTTGGAGGTTCGGTCCTGTGAAGAACACGTTATTCTCTGCAGCTGATAAACTCCAGCTGATGACTCTTGAGTGCTTATTTTCTGTCATTTTCATCATTTAAAGAGATCAAACACTGATGAGTCATATGGAGGAATCCTTCATTTATCACCATCAGAACCAGGGTTCCAGATCCGGTTCCAACAGCAGAACCAGTCTGATTTCAACCTCTGGTGTTCTCTGAGATCCAAAGAAAAGGCTCCAGATGTTTCCACTGCAGCAGATTTCATTAAATGTACTCAGCAGCCACACAGAAAGAGAACATCTCAGAAGTTTCACAGTTTAAAGCTGCAGCTTCAAAACAGAACCAACCAGTGACGTGTCGGGTCGATGAGCAGAGAGCTGCTCGTTCACATCATATGTTATTTACCCCGGAGGCTTTCTCCTCTCATTGCTTTTCTACACTGAATCATGATCAGTATGTCTGGGTTTTTCTGACAAGTGACAAAAAAGATTCTTTCAAGTCAAAGTGAGAACAGATTTCTATAAATTAATGTCGGGTAATTAACATAAAGTCAGTGATTCCATCAGTGTTCATCAGTAGATGAACCTCTGGTCCTGTTGGTCTCCATCAGCCTGAACATCTGGACGCTGCAGCTTCACCTCATTCTGATAAAACTGTTCAGACTCTGTCGGGTTCCACAGGGATCACGAACAGAACTGTTCAGGTCCAGACTCTAATCCTCAGCTGGATGGAGGTCTGGACTCTGACTGGGCCTCCAGAACTTCACCTTGTTGTCTTCAAACCACCTTCAAACTATGTGCATCAGGTTGTCCTCCAGGATTTCTCTTCACTCTGCTGCATTCATTCACCCTC